CGTTGAAACACCGGCTCCCGTACGATCACTGAAGTTAAACAACGTCGAGCTGAGACAGTAACTAGATGGGTGACTGTTTGGGAATATTAGGTTCTGTAAGCTTGTATGTGCGGTTGGTGTAAAGAATAATGGCTCGGAATTTTTAATAGGAGAGCCGAGTTCCAATTTCATTTGAGTTTATTCACTTACGCTCAAATAACCTTGGGAAAGGTATGAATCTAGCTCTTCTCCCCTCAACTATGGATTAATTAGTAAGACTTCTATTATTAAATCATTATTAACTCAAAAAAATTATTACAATCTAAAAAATATTTTCCGGCTTTACATAACCTACAAAGGGTTGATAAAACGTAAAAAACGAATGAATCAATCACGCTCAAACTACAGAATCGAATTAGACGAAACGTTGATGATTAAGTTTATTTGTTCCTGCGAACGTAATTTCTTCCTTTATATGCTGTGTCCCTTCAAGATGTGAGCGGTTATAGCTCTTCACAACTTCCTATCCTTTGTAGTTTTAAGCTATGTTTTTCCTCTTAGATAATCATCACAGTCACTGTTCTGCCATCCATTGACTCAAGTTGGTTAGGTAATTTATTCGGCTTTTCTCTTTGCCTCTCTTGCGTTCATATGTCCTGTGGGTGTCAAATTCTCCAAGTCCTCTTCCCTCGCTATATGTCCCCCACAATTCAACTGTTTTTCTCATCTTAAACAGAAGTGTCCGTTTAGTTCCCATTTTATTTAAAACTTCCTTGTTGATCACATGTTCCGTCTATGGTATTCTCAGCCTTTTTTTTTCATCAGTTGAGCAGGCTGTCTTTGTTTCCAACGAAATTCTCCAGTTTATTAACACTTTTAATCTTTGGAAATATTTTTCTCTATTTTAATGCACCTTCGGATTTCGATGTCATCTTTTCCATCTGTTACAATACTTCACAGTTAAATATCAGTACTTTCTTTATTTTGATATGCGTAATAGGCTACAGAAAAGTTATTTTATCCTCCATTTTGTAAACATGGGCCTAGTTTCGCATTATACGTACATTGCAAACCAAACATCTTACCTTCCAGACCTTTCACTCGCTTCCACTTTAAAAGTTCAGAATTATTAAACGAAATTTGAAAGCTTTTTTCTGTGTCCTGTTTTTTAATATCTGTGCAAGCAAGTAAAGGCTATATTTTCATCTCCGTTGGCGAAATCATGTCACCTCTAATTGTTTATCAAGTAACATCCAGACAGTTCAACAGATTCTCTAGATATTCAAAATGATTGGATGTCTTCTAGATAGACCACGGAGATACTTACTCAGCTTTAGTATAACGCCATAAAAAAATAGCCACCCACGAGGATCGTACTGACTATATGTGATAAGGTCTCGCCAGATTGGTTTGCTCACAATCGTCAAACCACCGTGGATCGAAGAACCTAAGCTTGTGAGACGAGTTCGTTAAACGTTACTTTTCGACAGGTGCATGCGAAATTGGGTGTAATATAGTTAGAGGAAAAAAATCAAGCAGGTTGTAGAGCTGGCTTAACATTTCTCGGATTTCTAATATTCAGAATTTCTTTTGAGAGTTTCCTTTCAAGACTACGTTATAAAAGCAGAACAAGTGAAGCGTGGGAAGCAGTAGTATTAGTTCAAGGGTACACGTTCATGAAAGATCTTTAATGTCGGTTAAGACATTATGCGTATCGAAACCGCCGAATTTAATTAGAGAGCGATAGAAAGAGGGAAATAAAAATCAGTTAATCTTTTTTATAAATCAGCTGGAGGAGGGGGTAAGATAAACGGAGAGGAAGAGGAGGGGGGTGGGTAAAGAAATCGAACAAGAACACGAGAAACGTACGTGCATCAATAAGTCTGTAGCCTGATGATGAAATAAAAACATCTACTTTTTTATTTCTATTTTTTACAGTAAGATTCACCCTGTACCATGCCCAAGAGCCACTCGAGTTAGAGGATTACAGAGTAGGGGACACAGTTTATGCGGATATGTGGGGAAGATAACAGTTAATCTTGAACAGGTTATGGTTGTAATGTTCGGGAAAACATCCTCTTGGGAATCGGTTCCACAGAGCAGTGTTTCGTTCGAAGAAGCTCCTTGAGCGGAACTTACTTCTCACCAATGGAATACGGAGGATACCTGAGAGGTTCGCTACAATATACATATCATGACGGGTCCTAGCCATTAAGGTTAGAACTGGTAGAACTAAGGAATGTAGTTCGTCTGAGTACTTTCCATGGAAGTGGCGATGGAACAGTGAGAGGCTTGTTCTATCTCGTCTTTGAGAGAGCGGTTGTAGGGTGTAAAAGTGTATTCGTCCGAGTGTATACTTTCATGTAGAATTTTGAAGCCCGAAATTTGAACGGATATCGCCAACATGACCCGGCAGACATCATAGGCTACAAAAATTAGATTTGGTGGGTTTTTACTATAGGTACAACGACTAGAAATAATTTAAAAACTTTTTTTTGTTTAATATTACTAAAGATTAAACACTCCAGGCCGAGAATAAAACATTTATGAAAGTTAATAGTGACCCTAGGGTGTTATGTAAATTCATGGTAAAAATGATGCCAAAATAAAATATATTCATATCACGGGATTTCTTAAAATCTAAAAAAATATTTGTTTTTTTAAATATCGTAATGTGAATTTTTTAGTCGATAGTAATATATGAAAATTAATCTTCATCTATTTTTTTTCAATTTTAAGAAATTTTAAATTTTTTTTTTTTTTAATTTTAAGAAATTTTGCGGTATGAGCATATTTCGTTGTGATGAGATAAATTTACAGTGATAGCAAACTGAACTAATTTATTGGATAAATTCACAACATAGCAGCTTTTCTTGTCTTTTTTTTAAAAATCATTTCACTTGAAGCAAGGCGAACATGCCTTTAAGACACATGGAGTTACTGGGAGTAGAAGAGAATGAGAAGAATTTAGTAAGGACAATAAAAGAACAGATTTCAGTACATTTATAATGCTAAAAAATGATGTTCGTTTTTTAGAGTGTTTAATCTATAGCAATATGAAAAAAACAAGATTATTTCTGGTTGAAGTGCATATTATACAATTCCACCCTAGTTTTCCCCGCTTTTTCTAAACCTAAAACAAGGGTCCTTCTTTGCATAATTAAAATAACCTACACTTCAAATCAAATCTGCAATTTCCAGCTAATTTACTTGTTTCCATTTTAGAACTTAGTTATTCTCAAATACAAAAATTGTTCAGAAATTAAGTTCTGATTTCAGTCAAAGCAGATCAAGCTCCATTGGAAAATACCGTGTGTAACCGCAAAATTGTCCAAATCTTGTAAAAGCAAAATTGTCCATTTGTTAGATTAAGCTTTGAACCGTTGTATCTAAGAAATGATAAAGATATCTTACTGAAATTCTCCGAGGTTTGATAACATTATTGGACTCTACTTTGAACAATAAGAATGTATAATTACTCTTCAAGCTTAACAAAAGAATAGTGATGAATTCGATTATCAACGAAAATGACATTCATCATTAATTAATCATAGCTAAGGATCGGGAGCTCATGAAGGATTGAAATTAAGTTCATATATATATATATATATATATATATATATATATATATATATATATATATATATATTATTCCAGGATCATTTTCAAACTTATTTATGATGATCTTCACCTCCTCTAATCTTCTATCTTTCTGTCCTGGAGTAACAAATTGCCTCACAGGTTTCACTTACAGGTTTCATTTTCATGCCAAACGTCTTATGAATTGAGTTGAATCTTTTCTATTTGATCTCTTTATCTCTAAGTTGAAATGATGACCTCTTCCTGTTGCGACCTCTTGATCTAATTTTCCTCTCTATTGTTCCCTCTTTTTAAAACTTATTCACCGTTCTCTTGGTGGTTCTTGATTAAACTTTGAAGATGGAAGCCAGAGTATGAATATTGGTACCATTATTGAAGGGCTGAATGGTATTTTTTCTTCTCACCATTGTTCAGTTGGGAAAAGAGTGGAACTGATACAAAACAATTTTATCCTGTTCTTTTTCTAGCTGAATAACTTAAAAGGTTTTTCAGTGATTCTTACGAAAAAATGGTGCCAAGATGGTTAAACGTCTTATCTGAAAAGGCGGAAAAAAGAAACTCATTTACTTTAGCGGTTTTTTAGATATTAAACATTTTGTAGGATGGACAATTAGCCCACAATGTTACACGATTTGGACAATTTTGCTGTTACACCTCGTACATTTTCGTAAAAAATACTCTGGTTTCAGCTTTGCGTAACCTCCGTCACATATCTTCTTTATATTGCTAGTAATACACGGCGACAGCTGTTATTGACAAAGAAAAGCTTATGATTTATTTTTCACTATTTTTCAAAGCAGTTCAAGCACTCATTTGCTTAACTCCATGTCGAACGTTCGAATACATCGCAATAATTGCACACACACACGCTCTCTCTCTCTCTCTCTCTCTCACTTTCTCTCGCTTTCTCTCACCCTACACGCAAATATGTATTTATATCATTAAAAAAACTAAACAAAAAAAAAAAAATCAACATATTTTTCAAACATTCAGAAAATGTCATCTGATTCAGGATTCTCAATTTTTATTCTCTTCCTCACGAAAATGAACAAATAAACAGTAAAAATGTTTCCTGTTCATCGGTGCTATTTACGCGATGTGAGATTTTATCAAATTAAAATCAATTGTTTCAGGACGTGGGCGATCATTGCTCTCCTCAAATTCCTATCCCTCGTAGCCCTTAGCAGCGTTTTCTCCCCTTTGCCAAACTGCCTGCCCCCCACTCCCACCATCCATTTACAAAAGCTTGTTAGGTAAGCGGACCGATGCCTTCCTCTAACTCTTCGATATGCCCTGTGAGGATTAAGTTTTCCAAGTCCTCCCTCCTTCCTAATTACGTGTCCAAGAAATTCCCCCTGCCTTTTTTTGATTCTGAGTATAAGTTTTCTTTTTGTTGCCATTTTCCTTAAGACTTGAAACTTACTCGCGCTATCCATGGAATTCTCAGTATTGTTATGTAGAAACACTTTTCTGTTGCCTCCGGGTTCCTTTTCATCTGTGGGGAGATTGTCCAGAATTCAT